TCTTAATCTATATCTATCTATATCTATATCTATACTTCTTTAAAACCCCAAAAAATTGAATATTTTGTCATAAATAATAAATATGTTGCATTATGAAAAAAAAAAATTTATTAATATTTGAGTATGCTAGGAATTGATTTGAGATTAATTCAATGTATATATGTGAATATAGAAGTGATATCATGCACACGTACACGGGCCTAAATCTGGGAAAAACGACCAGTTACAAGTATATACATTTTACATACTTAAGCAGTTGGAATATGAAAAATCTTAAAAGACCAAAGTTGTAGGTATCTTCAAGAGCTTTCCAACAAATCTTATATCACCTCATTCCGAGGTCTTACATAAAAGTTATGGCCAAAATACCGATGGTTGTTTTCCTAGTCAGACTAGGTTTCCTGGTTCGGGTCAAACAGGTTTGTTTCGGGTTTGCCTCTATAAATACCTATGTTTTTCACGAAAATTCCCTTTTTTATCATATCTATGAACCCTAGCAGTCACCCTCTCTCCTCAAAAACCCTAGATCTTATTCTTATGAGTTTGGAGAGCTTTGTGAAGCAAAATACCAACACGAGGGTGAGATCATTGACGTGTGACGAGGGAGAACGGGTGGTTTGTGCTCATGGATTGCTTGCTGTTTATTTCAGAGGCTTGCACATGAGATTAAGGCAAGATTATCTTCATCCAAACACATCCCCATAGTTAAATAACTAGTGTAGATGATTAATATGATGTTGAATATGTGTTTTTATGCTTTAATTTTAACCTGAGGTGTTAAAAGTCAGATTTTTAATAATAAATCTTAAACCAATGCTAGATTAGTAATCTTTTCTTACTGTTTATGATAGTATCATGATCATGATCATTAGGGTTATTCATAATTTTATTTATATATGAGAAATTTAAGTGATGTACTAAATATATATTTTCTGCAGAAAACTGCAGCACTTGTATAATCTTTAACTAATATTTTAAGATAGCAAACAAATTCCAAATTTAACCAAACTAGTTCCAAATGAAAGATATATGTATCTAGTTTCTAAAACAGAAAACCATTCTTAAAAAGAGTTTGTATAGAGAAAGATATGTTATGTTTACTAACAATATATCCTGCAGAAAATCTGCTGCATATGTATAATGTTTAACTGGAGATTTGGGATAACAAATGAACTCCAAACTGAACCAACCTTATGCCATTTGAAAGATGTGTGAATCTAGTTTTTAAAACAGAAAAACTATTTGTAAAAATAGTGTTTTTAGAGAAAGATATGCTCGTTTTACTAACAGAAGTCCTGTCTGTTTTCCTGCTCATTTTGTGGAGCTGTGTTGCGCCGTTTTGAGATGCATCGCGGAGTTTTGAGTCACTTGATGTTACACATATAGGCATGAATATATTGTGTTATGTATCTTTATATGTGAGATGGCTTGCGGACATGAGTTTAGGTTTGCACACCGAGACACGTGTGAAATTAGTGTATATGCATCCTTTTCATATATCTCATCAATTTCTACACATTTCATTCGGTCCATGTGTTGGGCAATTATTATGTGCAGTCAATGTGTTGGACATTCATCATATTCAGTCCATGTGTTGGACATTCATTATTCAGTCTATGTGTTGGACAATTTATATATGCAGTCCATGTGTTGGGCATCCACTACACCTAGTCTTAGTCCATGTGTTGGACACCTATTTAAACCTTGAGTATGACACTTAACACTTACATAGGTTGGACACGACACTTATGTGGGTTTTGACATGTCATGGTATTTGAGTTCTGAAATGGGTTAGTCTTCTTTATATTATTGTTCTTGTATTAGATCTTGGGTTTGGTATTTAGGGATTTACAATTTGAGACATATGGTATATATATGAGGGTTTTCTTATTTGGATTATTTCGCTCGACGTACCAGTCTCGTATTATGGATTTCTAATTGTTGGTTTTATTAGATTGTCTTTTCTTAGTTCGGTATTAATGTTTAGATATCTACAATTTGAGACATATGGTATATATATGAGTATTTTCTTGTTTGGATTATTTCGCTCGACGTACTACGTCTCGTGTTGTAGGTTTCTAAATATTAATCCCACTTAGATACGGAAAAAATAAATCTAGGTAGACTATGCTTAATAGATAGAGCATTCACTCCATCTAGCAGCCCTTCCCCTGGGAGCGGATGGAGGTAATCTTGCTGTAGCGCTCTAACGCTCTTGTTGTTGTTCTTTTTCTTTTAAATTACTTTTCAGGTAGTTCAGAGTTTCGAAGAGCCGCAGGATGACGGAGTTCTGGCATAGTCGCCGTCGCGTATTTTTACTTGTAGAGACTCCACTGTAGTTTTGAGTTTCATTCAGACATTAGAGTTTCATATTCATATTGTAAAGGCATTGTGCCTTAGTATGATTTTTAGTTGATTCATGTTGAGACATTTTTATTATTCAGATATCAGATGTATTATAGTTGAGACATGATTCTTTTTATTTATGAGATATCTCTTCTATATTATGTCTATTACATTTATTCTCTTTATTTTGCCTGTTTTGTACCTGCACTTCTATTTGGTTCCACTAGAGTATATTACTGTGATTGGTGAAACGTGTTTATGCACAGTGTGGGTGCATTGCAGGTTTGACATCTCTGGTTTTACCTTGGATTGCAGCCTTGTGTGAACCCAGGGGCATCACAATCTATATCTATACTTCTATAAAAAGAGGATAGGGGTTTTAAAAATTTTTAATTTTCTTTTTTATCATCTTAAATTTTGATAAATTCTAACTATGTCATTATCTCTAATTATGTTTTTATTAAATAAATATAATCTCTTATTAATTATGTATCTCCTCACCTTCCTAAACATTATAATTATCAATAATATTATAACTATTAGTTGTTTAAAATAATAAATAAAATAAGTATACACATTTATTAGTAGTAACCAATTAAATTATTGTAATAATTATTTATGAAATATAATAAAATAATTAAAATAATAGTATAAATAGAATAATATATTACTAAATACTATTAAAAATTATACTATAATTCAATAAGCAATAAAATAAATAGAATAAATTTTGAATCACATAAATAGTGTAATTATTTTAATAATATAATATAAACTTTGACTTATACTATTTATTTAGTATTATATTATTAAATAAATTAAATGAATAATTCAATATTATTTTTAGAGTATTTTTTTAAAGATTATTACATGACACTGAATAATCCATACTTGGTAATGATTGAAAACTAATTTTTTTAAAAACATTATTTAATACTAATAATAGTAATATTAATTGTTAATGATATTATTATAAAAATTTATAAATTTTTTATAGTGCTAAATTATTTAATAGCATAATCAAAAAATTTAAATTAGATAAATATTATATAGTATATAGATAGCATAATTATTTTAATAGTATTACTTGAACTAAGAATTATAATATTAAATAAGGTTAATTATAATAAACTCCACGAAGTTAAAAACATTTTACAGTAAATAAATCCTATGAACTTTCGAAATCATACTAAACCCTAATAACTTTTGTATAAAGCCCCTACTATCTTTTAGATAAATTACACCAAATCGCCGATAACTTTCAAAATGCCTTTTCATGCCATTTTCCGCTTCTAATTTATGCGGGTTATTTGTAAAATTTTAAAAGTTATTGGGATTTTTCTTTAAAAACAAAAAAGTCATTATGGGTTTAGTGCAACTGTGAAAGTACATATAGGCTGAAAGTTCATAAGGGTTTAGTGTAATTTACCCAGTTAAATAGTTATAATGAGAAGTAACTATTGTAATATGCTGTAAGTATCAAGCGTAACTATTTATGGAACATAAAGAAAATGCTAGCAATATTGATGTCGCTTAGTTAATTTAGAGTTAAGTTAGCAACTTTCAAGTTGGATGAACATATTTAAGAGAACTTATAAAATTGATAGTTTTATTTGATAACAATTTTAGATTTGAGTACTTATTTTAAAAAAGGTTAAATAATGCTTGGTGGTCATTATAAGAAAAACATTCAATTACAATAACTACACAATAATTAATAATTAATAATTTTCTTTTTACACAATCTTATTATACAATTTTATTTATAAACATATAGTTTTACTATTTAATAAAAAATTTAAAATTTAAAACATGAATGTTCAAATGCAAAACACGGGCATTATACTAGTATTCTGAAAAAGAAAGCTTTTTCTTTCGAAAAATTTCCAACTCAAAGCATTAGTGGAGCTAGGGTAATAAATCTGGCCCGACCCAAGAAGCGAGCATTTTCTCGTTCATCGATGGCCTTTTAGGGCCTGTTTGGTTATTTCCTAAAAAACCAAGAAATAGAAATGAAAACCGAGAAAGCTCAAAAAGTACAATTTCATCCATTTCCATCACTAAAACTCACCCACAATATCTAATAAAATATTATTTTTATCCAACAACTCATCCATCACATCTAATAAAATATTATTTTCATCTAACAACTCATTCACCACATCCACCACATCTAATAAAATATTATTTTTATCCAACAACTCATCAACCACATCTAATAAAATATTATTTTTTATCCACAACATCACTCAACTCAACTCATCTCATCATTTCAAATCACTCACATCATCCAATAAGATGGTGATAACTCATCTCATCTCATTAACATTTCATTTCCACACATTTCCTCCCAAAAAGCTAGGAAAATAATTTCCTTAAGTGTGGGTCACATCATCCAATTATATGGGTCACATCATCCAATAATATAATAACAACTCATCTCATCTCATCTATTTTCTTATTTTTAAGAATGAACCAAACAAAAGAAAACAACCTATTACAAGAAATAGGTTTCTTAGGGCATCTCCAACAGCTTCTCTAAAAATTTCTCCAAAATGGGGAAGCAAAAGTCATATTCTCCAAATTATTTTTATACCAACTCCAACAGCTTCCCCATTTTGAAGAATACATTTTTTCCTCCAAAAATTTGGAGAATGCTGCAGATTTGGGGAAGCTTCCCCATTTTTTCTCCTCCATCCCTATTTTGGGGAATGAGATGGGAAATCTGTTGGACCAAAAACCTAACTATATTCTCCAAAAGTGGGAAATGGGGAAGCTGTTGGAGATGCTTTTATAATTCATTTCCTTATTTTTTTCGCCAACCAAACAGCATGAAAACAAGTTTTCTTAAAAAATCACCCACATCATCTTATAATAAGGTGACAACTCATCTCCATTTCTTTGATTTTCTTTTTTTTTAGCAAACCAAACACTCCCAAAACAATTTTTCTTAGAAATAGTTTTTCATTTCTTTGATATGCCATTTTTTTAGGCAAACAAACAGACCCTTAACAAAAGCAGCGCGAGCTCGAGCCAATTGGACTATAAAATCTCTCTACCTCTCAGAGGCCAGGGTAGTATTCGAACGAACTCATTCATTCTCCTCTTTCATCTGCAATCATGGTACATTTTCTCTCTTTATTCGATTTACCAAAACAAAAAAAGTTAACATTTTATTCTATACATCCTTGGGAATTTATAGGTTTAGTCTTTTTTATTCCCTGGCAAGTGAATAGACCATGATTTTAACTGAAGTTGCAATTTTTAATTGAACGCAGCCGAAATAAATCCACGAGATCAAGGATTTCCTTTTGACGGCGAGGAGGAAAGATGCGAGATCGGTGAGGATCAAGAGGAGCAAAGATGTGGTCAAGTTCAAGGTCCGATGCTCCAGATATCTCTACACTTTTGTGTGTTCTTGATGCCGAGAAAGCCGACAAGCTCAAGCAATCTCTTCCCCCTGGTAATTTTTCTTGTTTTTGTTATTAGTTAATTTATGTCGTAATATTTTTGTAATTAAATTATGTCGTAATATTTTGTAATGATAATCCTCGTTATTTATTGACATGATTACAAGTTTATTTTTTTAGTATTTTTTTTAAAAAAAATGTATTAGTCTGGATTCTTGCATGCTTCGATTCTTGCATTTGTTAATTAACGGGTGCAATCCGTAGCGAGATATGATTTATAAGAAATTATGTTAACCTAGAAGTGATGTCATGTGAAATATGTTGGGACAAACCCGAGACGCAATAGAGCAAGGTCCCAACGAATAGTAGAGCAGAAATAATGAAATGAATACGCCGATTTACGTGGAAAACCTCCTAAATAAATTTGGCGTAAAAATCACGGGCAATGATAGAAGAATCCACTATGGAGAAAATTTAGGAGTTACAATCTCTCTTTTCAAGGAGAACCTCTCTATTTTTCTCTCTTTCTCTCTCCCTTTCTCTTTCTTTTTACTCTTAATTGGAGACACTGGGATGATCAGAACTTCACGCCACAGAAAGCTATATATATAGGTGATTTTGTGGTAGGCGTGCACTGTTGCTACGTGCACTTAAATTATGTTAACCTATAATTGACACGGCTTTAGCAATTATTTAGTTTGTGTATAATTAGGATTGAAACAACTAGGGTCGCAATTGCGAGGGAGCTTGCTACCAAGAATTTGTTTCGGTTATTTATAAGGCTTAATTGCACTTAAATGCCCTATATTTCCCCATATTTTGCACTTATATATCCCCACTTGTTTTTGGCAGCACTTATATATCCTAAAGTTTTTCTTTAAACTCGCACTTAAATACCCTCACTTGTTTTGGCAGCACTATATACCCTAAAGTTTTAACTACGTGCACTTAAATACCTTAAAGTTTTTAAAATTTGCACTTAAATCCCTCAGTTGTGCAAAGCTGAGGGTATTTAAGTGCAAGTTTTAAAGACTTTAGGGTATATAAGTGCTGACAAAAACAAGTGAGGGTATATAAGTGCAACTTAGGGGAAAATATAGGGTATTTAACTACAATTAAGCCTATTGATAATTGGGATTTATGGGTTGCTATTGGCCGAACCGACTTGTTGACATATCACTAGATTTCTGATGTCCATTTTCAACTCCTTTACATAAAATGTAGATCAGGCACCAATTAGTTTTGAACTAAAGTTGTGTTTAGCCGTAGCTTCCTTCGCCTCAATGCAACTGGTTTTTCGTGGGGCTTTGCGTTTTAAAATACAAAGAAAAAGAAAACTCTATCAGTTGCACTAATGATGCTTCTATGTTTTCAGTGGTGGTAGGGATTTCCAGACTGAATTTTTTTGATATAACAAATCATTTCATTGTTTTTTCTGGTCTATTGCATAAATGTAAACATATAATAAAACGGGTTAATTGCGGATCACCAGGTACCCCTCGTAGTATCATTTTTTGAACTTACTACCCATCTACCTTTATTTTTTTACGTTTATATCTACACACTAGATCAGAAAAAACTAGGGGGTGGTATGTTCAAAACACAGATGCTACAGGGGTATTATCGGCATTTAACCCTTGAAAAAAGAAAGAAAGAACTTATGTGATGACACTCGTATTTGTATGGAACTTAACCATGTTATTATTGCTTTGCAGGTTTGACTGTCCAGGATCTCTGAAGCTGCATATGACAGATTGGTTACCGGATTTTTGTGGCCTTGGTCTTTAGTATTCTTGAAACTTTGTGGATGTTATGAACAATATTATTTTGCCAGAACCGTGTTTATTTTCTCAGAACAAAATTTGCTGTTGTAGCAGTTGCGAGAGCTGTCTAGTAAGCAAATTTGTAGCATGTTTTGAAGTTATGAGCAAAATGGGTAGACGGTAGCCTTAAAGCTGAAATGTTTCATATGAATGTCTTATTGCGTAGCATGGTAGAGTTAAACTTGAGCCGACGTACTTTTAGATTTGTTTCTTGATACTCCTTGTTGCAGAGATATGATATTTGTATCTAAGCTTGAGTCTTGAGATATCATGGTTTCGTAACTCAACATCTCTTCCCATGGATTATGATGACAAATGCTACTATGTTACGTTGAACTGGAACTGTAGTGTAATTTGCATGTTGTGTCTTTGATGCAAACCATACTTGTTTTATTCTGTCGAAAAAATTACAGAGCTCGTGTACTCATGCAAACCGAAATATACATTCCCGAACTCAGTGGACTCATGGAAACTGAAATATACATTCCGATGAGCTACATTTACAGGGTACTGAGCCTAAGTACTACCCTCAGTAAATTTTTTTTAAAGATTCAACTTGTTTGACTGATTATAGTTGAAATATCTGTGTGATTCTTAATTATAATGCAACAGCAATACAGCACTTAATGGTAAATTTTTCGACTCTACAAGAATCATATTCTTTCTTTCAAGTTTGCTAAAAGATTATCTTTTTTATTAATAACAATCATATTACTCTTTAGTTTTTTCGACATTGTATTCTCAGCAAGAGCAACTTCTGATATCATATACATGAGCGTATCCAAGAGGGTCAAGCTGAGTTAGTAATCTGCCTGTGAATAGTACTCCAATGTCTCAAGTTTGACTCTCCTGGGAAGCACCCATAGAAATTTAATTCCTAAAATACTCAAGGTCGTGTATTGGAGGATGACCCTTAAGCCACACGTGAGGGTTTGATACCCATAGTCTGAAGGATCATGAGAAGTTCCCTCGTCAAACCCGCAGAGAAGAGAAAAATAGTGTTTTGCATTAGCTTCAAGAACCATCACAGCTACAAGAATCTTTAGTATGAGAATAAATCTGACAGTCATAACAAGGAGATGGGGCAACAAAATCTTCAGAATAACGTTCAACAAATATAGCAACAATTCGTATATAGGCTTCAACTTGGTAATTATTATGTGAAGTAGCATCATATACATTTTTCGAATATCCGGTGTTTATAATGGGCATCCGTTATACAAGAAGTCATTTAAGTTGAAACCAAGAGGTGAAAAAATCATGTTGTTTTCTTCTTTTGACCGAAAATCAACTTCCAGCTGTAAGTGTTGCCTTTTTTTGCTGCAGCATCCAGTCGGTTGACACCAGTCTGCAGAATTAAACCACAAGGTTAAGAAGGAATAAGATTTAAGGAAGAAACAAAAAAAAAGAGGGGAAAAAGGGGGAAATATGGTGCTCTTGTGTGCATTAGTAAAATATGTAAACATAATTTGACGTATTTGTCATTGATAAAATTGTACAACAGTCGTTCATTGCATATGCCATGAGAAGTTCTGTTCTCAATTTGATTATGATGATCGTGGTGCAGCAAAAGTTTCACTCGAAATTCTAATATCATGGAAGTATTTCTCTTAGGAGGAATACCTAGGGATGAATGTCTGTTAATGTCTAAGCTCCCTCTCCATTACAAGCTTAACATACCACACACCAGTACCGGCCTGTAAACCTATATTTCCTATGGGGAACTATAGACTATAGTATTGAAAGCTATTAGATTTCATAAATCTCTAAAGACATGTTACTATGAGATGTCAGAGCTTACACCCTTTTCTCGTCTTTAAAAGAAAAAGAAAGGAAACTGTGTAGAGATAATCAGCCTGCAAAATGTTGTTTTCTTATGTTCTCTTCCTTTCCTACTTTAAAAAGTTCCTAGATTTGACATAATGGCAGGAGTTATTTTACAGAGTATTTAAGCATTGCACGATAGGATGACATACGAAAGCCGTAACTAACAAAAAAGACACATTCAAGAAAACAGAAACATTCAAGCATTTGAACCAATTGAAAGGAAAGAAAACATGGTAATGCAACATGGGCCCATCTAGGTGGTCAGTGTTAACATTTAAGGTCAGTTTATATAAAGAAGCTTTATATGAATATTAAAGCCTCCCGAGTACTCGCTAACCTAATACAGATAAGAGTCCTGAGAGAAACTTGTCAGCAGACAAAAATATTATATGCACTGTGTGCATAATTTTACCAGGAGAGAGAACAACATTGTATGTCTGAATTTGTTGTATATTAATTTATCACTCATGGAAGTTGAATGCAAGGCAAATGGATCACTATATATGTAATAACCATTAAAGTTCCCTTTTTCCTAACCTAACTAACCCCCTGTGTAACCCCTTTGACTATCCCTAACTCTCCCAAATCTCACCTAAAAATAAA